GTTCAGAGGCCTGTGGCTCAAAGCACTGCGGAAGCCACAAAGATGAGCCAAAGCAGGCCTGCAAGGCGGCAGACAGAGAGAGACTGAATATGGCAGCCCTGGGGTGGGGTCAGGGAACATCCGCACCGCCTGGTCAGGTGTCCGGTGTTTCCCCAAGCCCCTGCTGTGAACACAGGCTATGCCACAAAGTTGGGTTTGATTATCTCATAAAAAGATGCCCCCTCATGCTTGCTCAGCTCAGGGGTTGCCATGGAGACCAGCGGGCAGGCCCCAAGGGGGGCCGGGCTGGAGCCAATTACTGTGGCTCCGGCAGAAGAGCCTACCCCAGCCCCTGTGCTCACGGGACGAGTGCGAAGAGCCGCCTCTTAGAAGTTGATTTCCAACAGGAACACAGCTGTGCCTTCCCGTCCGCCTGGCGAGGCTGAGCACTGCATAGCGGCTCCCCCGATTGTCCACCTCCCTACTGTGGCTCAGCCCTGGACCCCCACTGACCCTAGCTGAGCTATCAGTGGGCAACCTCAGGACTGGGAGCCACACTCTACCACTCACTGGTGTGGTGGGTGGCACAGAGATCGGTGTGTCTGTGAGGTCCAGTTGGCAGCATGGCGTTCTGCAGAATAGGCAGTCTGTGGCATGGCAGGGCTGATAATGTGCCCCCTGCCCAGGAACCCATGCTAGTAAAATCTCCAGCCTGGCCCTGGGTGCATGAAAGCCCCCCACTTGCCCAGCCTTGGGTTCTGAGGTCAGAACCAGGAGGTGCTATGCACATGGTATGGTGTCCTGATGTGACAAGGGGTGTCCCCGGGAGGGCATGTAAGAAGAGAATGTGAGAGCCTCGTTAGACAGAGCCTCGGGCCCAAGTGCAACCCACACATGGCCAGCCCGGGGCGGGGCAGGGGGCGGGCATCCATGAGTCGGGGGCTCCTGGGCCTGACTTACCACTGTAGCTGCCAACAAATGACCCCAGGCCCAGCAAACCCAAGCTCCTTGCATGAAGTCACTGAGTCTGAGAAGAGGGTGCCCAGAGCCGGAAAGCGTGCAGGGCTGCTAGGCTTGCCTGGCCTGTGGGGCTCCGGAGTTGAGCGACAGAATGCACCACACAGACAAGGACCCTTTGTGGTAAGGGGCCCAGGGTGGAGGAGTAGCAGTCCCCAGAGGTCAAGGCTGGGTAGGGAAGGCTGGCTCCGGGTCTTCTCCCACCTCCAAGCAGTTAGCCAGCCTCTCGGCCTCCTGTCTGCAGAATCCTGCTCTTAGCTAGCTGCCAAGATAGGTGTTAGCTGTCAAGACAGGTGTTAGCTGTCAATGACGGTGTTAGCTGATAAGCCATAACCCTCCCAGGGGGATTCACATTTTAATAGACTCACTCCTGAAAGAGCCTTCGGCATTCGGCATTCCATTCGGCAGAAATGGGGCTCTAGTGACAGACCGAGGAGCTTGTTCCTAGGAATGTGGCACCCCAGCCCTCGTCCTTGGCCACACCTAGGTATATCTGGCCCAGGGACCAGGATGGGGCCTGATGCCTTGGGCCTGCCAGGGAGGTAGGATGGTAACAGGGATGGGCAGGAAGGCTGGGAAGGGATGGAGCAGAGAATGAGGCCGGGGGAGGAGGCTGCAGAAGGTGTTCAGAGCCAAGTCAGGAAGTGCTTAAAAGGGAGGCTGTGTGGAGGAGGGAGCAGCCTGCCCTGGGGGCCTGGGAGAGGCCCTCCCTCCCCACCTTCCCCACTCCCGCTCCTCTTCCTCAGATAGCTGGTAAGGAGACCTACCCCAGCCTCAGGAGACCCCACAGACAAAGCCCTTCAGGGGCTCAACATAGCTCCCATTTTGGCATGAGGGGTTCTCTATAATTCCAGGGGTTATCAAGAGCTGTAGAGGCCTGGACAGGGCGTGGATTGTGAGCCTCAGTCTTCCTCCACAGCCTGGGCCGAGGGACCTGGTAGGCCTAGGGATGAGTCTCAGGCTGCTCCTACGGTGTTTTTCAGACTCCCCTTTTCCATCTTAACCTGTAGCCTGGCGGGGCTGAGTTGGCCAGACCAAGGATAAGGCTAAGACCAATGGAGACAAACAGGTCCCGGGGCTGTGTGCCCCCGAGTCCTGAGACGGTGTGTGCAGCTACCCCAGAAGGCCTTCACATAGGTGTTTTTGGTGGCTGACTAGAGTGACCCTAGGGGGTGAGCAACAGTCCCGATAGCAGGTGTGTGAGGAAGGGTGGCATGAGGGTTTTGGGGTGCAGGCATTGATCACCAGTGTGGAATATGTGCCTCCAAGGACAGCTTCCAGCCCAGTATTGTCTGTATGTCATGGAAGGCAGAGGTCCTACAGCTCCATTCGCAGAGCTGGCAGGCCAACCCAAAGAGAACTGGTCCCAGCATCAGCTCCCACCTCTTAGGGCCCTGGTTTGATCACCTTTTCCTCTGCCTACAGGAAGCCGGCTGCTGGCATGGGTGTTATGGCTACAGGCCTGGCGGGTAGCAGCACCATGTCCTGGTGCTTGTGTGTGCTACAGTGAGCCCAAGGTGACAACCAGCTGCCCCCAGCAAGGCCTGCAGGCTGTGCCCACTGGCATCCCAGCCTCCAGCCAGCGAATCTTCCTGCATGGCAACCGCATCTCTCATGTGCCAGCTGCCAGCTTCCACTCATGCCGAAATCTTACCATCCTGTGGCTGCACTCTAATGCGCTGGCCCGGATTGATGCCACTGCCTTCACGGGCCTGACCCTCCTGGAGCAACTAGACCTCAGTGACAATGCACAGCTTCGCGTCGTGGACCCCACCACCTTCCGTGGCCTGGGCCACCTGCACACGCTGCACCTAGATCGATGCGGCCTGCAGGAGCTGGGCCCCGGCCTGTTCCGTGGACTGGTGGCCCTGCAGTACCTCTACCTACAAGACAACAATCTGCAGGCGCTGCCCGACAATGCCTTCCGTGACCTGGGCAACCTCACGCACCTCTTTCTGCATGGCAACCGTATCCCCAGCGTGCCTGAGCACGCTTTCCGTGGCCTGCACAGTCTTGACCGCCTCCTCTTACACCAGAACCACGTGACTCGTGTGCATCCACATGCCTTCCAGGACCTCGGCCGACTCATGACCCTCTACCTGTTTGCCAACAACCTCTCCATGCTCCCCGCAGAGGTCCTAGTGCCCCTGAGGTCCCTGCAGTACCTGCGACTCAATGACAACCCCTGGGTGTGCGACTGCCGGGCACGTCCGCTCTGGGCCTGGCTGCAGAAGTTCAGAGGTTCCTCGTCAGAGGTGCCCTGCAGCCTGCCCCCACGCCTGGCTGGCCGTGATCTGAAGCGCCTGGCTGCCAGTGACCTAGAGGGCTGTGTCGTGGCTCCAGGGCCCTTCCACCCCATCCAGACCACTCAGCTCACTGATGAGGAGCTACTGAGTCTCCCCAAGTGCTGCCAGCCGGACGCTGTAGACAAAGCCTCGGTGCTGGAACCCGGACGGCCAGCTTCTGCTGGTAATGCACTCAAGGGTCGCGTGCCCCCGGGTGACACCCCACCAGGCAATGGCTCAGGCCCACGGCACATCAATGACTCTCCGTTTGGGACTTTGCCCAGCTCCGCAGAGCCTCCACTGACTGCTCTGCGGCCTGGGGGTTCCGAACCACCAGGACTGCCCACCACCGGTCCCCGCAGGAGGCCAGGTTGTTCCCGAAAGAATCGCACCCGCAGCCACTGCCGTCTGGGCCAGGCAGGAAGCGGAGGCGGTGGGGCCGGGGAAGCAGAGGGTTCGGGGGCCCTGCCTGCTCTGGCCTGCAGCCTTGCTCCTCTGGGCCTCGCACTGGTACTTTGGACAGTGCTCGGGCCCTGCTGACCAGCCACCAGCCACCAGGTGTGTGTACATATGGGGTCTCCCTCCATGCCGCCAGCCAGAGCCAGGGACAGGTTCCGTGGGGCAGGCCAGGCCCTCCCTGACAGATGCCTCCCCACCAGCCCACCCCCATCTCCACCCCATCATGTTTACAGGGTTCCGGGGGTGGCGTTTGTTCCAGAACGCCGCCTCCCACCCGGATTGCGGTATATAGAGATATGAATTTTATTTTACTTGTGTAAAATATCGGATGACGCGGAATAAAGAGCTTTTTTCTTATGCTGTGGCCTCTTGGGCTGCGGTACTGTGGGTGGTGAGAAACGAGGGTGGGTCCCAGCATAGCATCTCCTTCAGACACCGGCACAGAAGGCCTGAGAGGAGAGAACTGCCCACCCTCACTGGTGGGGCAGTCTGGGCCGCAGTGGGGGTGGGGGCCGCGTACGGGAGTGAAGTGACATTCTCGCCGTCCCCCAGCTGCATGGGTGCCGTCCCCCAGCTGCACGGGTGCCATGGTCCCGTAGCTGACATCCTTGAGCTCAGCCAACTTCTCTGAAAGCTGGGCTGACTACTGCCCGGCTCGGCACAGCGCTGAACAAGCTGTCTTTGTGAGGACATCTACTCTGGGGCTGTCCAGCCCAGGAGGAGGCTGCGAGTGAGATGTACAGCCCATGCTCCCGTTGCTGGAGAATGACCAGGAGTGGGGTGGCTGCAAAGGCGATCTCAAGACCACGCAAGGACTGTGGGCACTTTCATATCGCTGCCCCGGGCCACAGCCCGCATGCCTGGGTGCCTCACACCACCCCACAGCCCTTGAGGATCCACGTACCCACGAACACACGTGAGCTCATAACAGACACACATGGCAGAGCAGAGCCTCGCAGACACGTGTGTGTGCATGTGCTTAAAAACGGCACAGACAAGAAGATGCATGTGTGAGCGAGTCCCTGAGGCCTGAGCTGGGAAAGCCTCAGACAAAGGGGAGAGCGCCTCTTGGCCAGAAAACTGTGGGTGGAGGTAGTGGTGAGGGGCACAGGACGGGGGTCTGCCTCTCCCACAGGGCGAGAGCTGGGAGGAAGGGAGGCGGAAAATGCAGGGACTGGGGGAGGGAACTGGGGGAGCCAGATGGCCACGGGGGCGGCCAGGGATCCAGAAACTCAGGGAGGAGGCTGGGATGGGGAAATGTGCTCACAGTCACCATCTGAGGAATGACGGGGGCAAAGGTAGGGTGCTGAGGCCGTCTGGCTTTGTCCTTCCTCAGCAGGGAGCCTCTTCCAGGAATCTCCCCCTCCCCCGGGCTGGGCCTGCTGGTGATACCGCGTATACCTGCATAGCTGTCCACACGGACACCTGCAGCTTGTCCTTCTGCACAGTGGACGCTGGCCTGAGCTCCAGGCCTGGGCATCACTGTTTGTCCCAAGGCTGGGGACGCTGCAATTGGAGCAGGTCTCACAGGTGAGGTCACTGCTTGCCTCGGGTCTGCCAGCTCCTAAGGAGGCATCCTCCAACACCTTGTTTGCCCTCCCAGCCCTGGCAGAGGCGGTTCTGTGCACAGCCTGTGAAGAAGACAGCTACCAATCGGCACTCCCCGGCACCCTGGGAGGCTGCTGGCCTGCACCTGGTGGACAGGGGTCTTCCTCGACTCCCCCCACCCCCAAGGAGCTCCTGCCCATTTGAGAAGACCAACCCAGCCTGCTGAGTCCAGGGGAGGGGCAGAGCTGGGAGGTAAGGCTACGTGTTCCGAAATGTAAGTCAGGACGATTGGCAAAGAACCTTAGGGGCTCTGAGCTGGGCGTGTACAGCAGATATCGGCACTTGTAGTGGCTTGCAGAACAGAGGGTCCCATCTCAGTTCACGTGCCTTTAGGATCAGGGGGTTCACTACCTATGCTGAGCTTACTCCGCACTGACAGGCTCTGTCTTGCCTCGGGCCACTTTCTGTTACCAACAGCTGGCCCGCAGGTGGGCATTGGAAGCCAGCCCCCAGTAATGGCAAGGAAGGCTACCACGGGACCACGTGCTGTACTGTAACCAGGCTAACAGCCGGAGATGCATCACTTGGGTGCTGCTGTCCCTGTCCTGTCCATTCCCCTCCCCAGAGAGAGGAATCTGGGACATGTAGAGTGGGGACAGTGGTCTAGCCAGGCTGTCAGTGAAGGTGAGGCAGGGGCAGGGTCTGCAGGCAATGGTCGGAGGTGTGCAGAGAGCGCGCATCCTTTTTGACTGTCTCAGGGCGGGAGGGTGAGCAGGTTCTGATTTCCTGAGACGGCTCTTCTGGCAGTGGTGTACGCTGTGGGGCCTGCACACAGGAAGGGCCAGACCTGAGGGGTGGGTGATCCAGAAGGCAGGGGATGTGTTTCAAGTTGGACTTGACAGGATGGTTGGAGGCGGTGGGCAGGGCTCCCAGGCGTCTGCCCTAAGCAGCCGGCAAGGGGCGCCTGTCCCCGAGGAGGGGGTTCCAGGAGGAGCGGCTTGTTGAGGCCCAGGAGACATCTGGGCGGGGGTGTCGCGTGGGCTGTGCAGGCTGAGCTCAGGAGAGGGGCCCGGCTGGAGGACACATTTGGGAGTCGTGAGCATTTGGGTGATATTTACAGCCCAGGAATGGATGAGATCACCGGCCGGTGATGGGGAGGGACCTGGAAGGGGTGGGGGTTGGGCCAAAGCCCCAGGACGCCACTGTGGCCCACCCTAACCCCTCTTTACCCCTCCCCACCTAGGCTTGGCTCAGCGGGCTCCCTTAGGTAAGGTTCCGGGCATCAATTGGGCCACTGTCCAGCCTGGGTCTCAGGGTCCCTGAGGCTTGTGCAGGATGCTAATTAAAGCCATGGAAAGCACTGTGGAGAGTGTCAGCCCCCCCTTGGGTGCCCACTGCTTTGCCATGGACACACCTGGCCCCCTTCCAAGGTTTCTAGGCCAACCACAGGGCTCCCTGTGATAGAATCCTTCCCTGTTCACAGACCTGGCTCAGTATCCCAAGCCCTGTCAAGGCCACACCACTGAGCATAATTTCTGGAGATTGACATCTGGAGCCTGGCTCACAGTGGCTATAGCTACTCTGAGAAATGGGCCCAGAGCAAGCAGCTCTTGAGGCTCTGGGCTCAGAGCTGGGATCTCCTGAGGTCACTCAGGACCCTAGGAGGGTGGTGAGGTATGCCTGCAGGTCCCTCAGAGACCGAGGTGTCCCAGAAGCTGCTTCCGGGCTGCACAGCTGGATTTAGAGAAGCATCTGTCCCGTTAACCTCGCTGGTGGGACTTGGCACAGTAATTGGGAGAATTGCTTTTTAATCCTTAAATTAGTTCTGAAATAATAGAAGCAGCAGAATACGCAGCAGTTGATGTCCAGTTAGTGTCCAGTGAGACTGGGAACATGCCAGAAACATGTTTGCGGAGAAGTGAGACTTTGTCAGACCAGCTGGGCACAGAGGGGAGCTGCAGCAAGATGGGGAGCCCCTCCCACCGTGGGGGCGGGGGGACACATGCCTTAGCCACAGGCCAGGCCCCGGGTCTCTGCCTCCCCAGCACGGGGTGGGAACCTTACGTCCAGGGCCCACGGGGACACTGCTGATACCCCTGGTGTGAAGGCCAGAGGAGTGTGGAGATGTGTCTGAACAGGGATGGACCTGAGGTCACACTTGCTTACACAAGTGCCTATGATTTTAAGCTTGCCCCCAGGACATTCTGGAATACAGAAATGTCACAGAATTCTAGGTATCAACCTCTCTCCGTGTGCTGGGCAGCCCGGATGTCATTTGGGAGGGAAGACAACACTCCAGGCCGTGCTGACTACGTGACCACTGCAATCAATTGTCTAGTCGTCATATGGCCCCAAAGTCATCTCAAGCCACTGTGGATTCAGCCTTAAAATCGGCATCTCCATGCTGCCTGAGCCCTCTCCACACAGCCTCTCACACTCCAAGGCCAAGCCATAGCCTGTCTTCTTGGCCCTCACACTCGGGGTTTGAGGAGCAAGGGCCCCCAACGTCACGTAGCAAATGGTAGAAGGAAACCTGACCGGGCTTAGCAGGCTATCAGTTCACACCTACCTCACTTCTGTGGGCACACCAGCAGGGCAATCCACTTGACATCCTGAGACACACACACACACACACACACACACACACACACACACACACACACACACACACCCCTACATCTGCCTGCCTCCCTGGCTCAAATAGCTATTCCACACGAGGCCTGGCTGGCTGCACAGCGGACACCCAGCTCCCATTTGGACCCTGCCCTCTTGGCGGGTACTGTGGCTGGACCTGGAGAAATGCCCTTCATGCTTCAGCACAGGCGGGGAGAGGCAGGGCCCCATTCATCTGGGCATCTGGCTGGTTCATGCCCCTGTTAGGCACCGACTGTGTTCCAAAGGAAGCCCCGGGAAGGAAGGCTTCCTGAGGGCGGACAGGCGCCGCTTGAGGTTGCTCAGGCAAGCACGGACCTGGGCTGCTTCAGGGCTGGATGGGCAAGAGCAGGCCACGCGGCGGGTCCAGCCCGTGTGAGGGAGGAGTAGCGTGTTATTCTCTCGAGTGGACCAGCCTCAGTTCTCCTGACAAAGCAGGAGGGCAGGGGCTGCTCGGTCGCAGCCCCAGCGTGGTGTGGTCTGCCCCTCGGTTCTCCAGAGCTGCTCCTGTGTGTGCTGGGGCCTCATTAAACCCACCACCGACCAGCCCAGCAAACACGAGGGACTAGGAGGCCTCCTATTTGTCTTCACAGAGAACTGTGCCGAGATTTATGGGCAATAAAGGAACATCCATCTCAGGGCGGGAAGAGGAGCGGCAGCCGGGCAGCCCCCTCCTCACACCAGAGCACTCCAGTTGCATTAATGATGCCGCCAAGGCTTTGCAGAGCTGCTGACAAAGGAGAGAAGAAAACATGGACAATTAGAGAAGGATGAAGACCTCGCAGGGCGAACTCTGCACGCAGCTGCCAGCCAGGCCACCCTGTGGGGGTCCGGGGACACCGAACCGAGCCAGCGATCTGGGGCCCGGGCCCGGGGCAAGGCCCGGCTACTGTCTGATGGTGGCCTCACAATTATTTTTGAAAAATGATGGAGGAGGGAGGGGAGGGGAGGGCAGAGATAAGAGGGCGGAACTTGTGCCCCGGCCGAGCTGTGGGTTTCTGGGCGGCCGTTGGCACACTGCTAGGCAGAGGGCGTAAGAGGTTTGGGCCGCAGGGGCTCAGGGACTCTGCTTAGGTGCCCTCCCTGGGGCTGCGGCTTCATCTTGAGGCTTCCTGGCCAGCCCTCCCCGGCTCCCATGCCGTCCTCTCTGCCCATCTTGCTGCTGTTACCTGTCAGCCTGGTTACGGCTGCACCCTCCCTCTGCTTCCTCTAACTAGCGTGTAAGCTTGTGGTCTGTCCGTCTGTCCACCTGCCGTCTGTTCCATTGACTAGCCCTTCCCTGTTTCTCCCTCAAAGGCTCTGCTCCCACAGAGTGGCCTTGGCCTTCATGCCACCTCATCCCCAGCCAGTACCTTCCAGGACCCTGTCTTTCCCAGTTCCACACAAGAAACCCTCCAGCCTGTGGAGGGACAAGTTGGCCATAAGTCCCCGACCACAGCGGGGACTCCAGCTGGGGAGTTGAACTCTGGTCCCTCCGCCACCCTCCAGAAAGCCTATAAGGGTGGCTCCTTGGGCCCCTCTTGACCCCACTGCTGGGTTGGCATCTGAATGAGGTCCATGGATGGTGCCGCTCCCCCTGCCCGGTGAGTCAGGGCAGCTGCACTTGGGGGGTGGACGAGAGAAGAAGTTGCCCACAGCCCACTCCCCGAACTCAGGCCAGCAGCTGACTGCGGCTTCAGCACCTCTGTGGGGTTACTCTGTACAGGCTAATCTCAGGGAGCAAACACCTTCAATTCAGCACTACCCAGAGGAGTGGGCCACGCCTAGTGTACCTGCCACTTACCACTGAGGCAGCCTGGCACCTCGGCCAGCTCGGAGGAGTCAATGCAAATACCACCCGGAGTCACCATCCTGCTCCACCAAGTACAGGTACAGCACCCCGCCCCCATCCCGCAGAAGGACAGAAACACAGCTGGCTCAGAGGCCACAGGGACAGACAGACAACTGTGAGGGGAAGCAGACTAGCAAAGCTCCTTCCCTGGAGTTGCTGCACTTAGCAGACACAGACCCCCATCCTCCCCCCAGGCTGGTAAAGTGAGGGCTGCCCTACTCCAGTCTCGGTTCTGTGAGAACTGAACCTGAAGGCAAGGCTCACCGGGCCAGGGTGCTGGGACCGGGTAGTCTTCATGTCCAGGCCAGCACTGGATCAGGCAGAGAGCACCTTCTGCGTTCTAGGGAGCAAATGGTGAGCCATTCACTCTCAGCCCCATGGGCCTTTGGTGAGGGAAACGGCGCAAGGCCTGCCCGTAAAGCAGGTCGAAAGGCAGGATCCTGCGTGCTCATGGCTCAGGGTCTGGGGTCCCGGATTTCTCTGTCCAGGAACTGTGCCAGACTGCCAAGAAGCTGTGCCAGCCATCACAGCACAGCTATGATGTGCTTCCTGCCTCCCACCGGCCCTGGCTCACCATATATGAAGCAGGAGTGGTTCAGAGATGCAGGACTTGCCTTACAAAGCCAATGGAAGCAGTGATACTAATGAGGACGTCTCGCGGGGGCTGGGGACAGGGCTGCGTCAACTCTGGGGGAGAGGACAACCTGAGGCTGGCCAGTATGAAGAGGAGTGACGGGACACGGGCCCAGAGACCCTGACCCTGGCACCCTGGTCCCTGGCACCGCCCTGCTGACCATGAGAGTGAACGGAGCTTTGTGAGGCCCAAACAGGAAACGGGGCCACGGCCCCACTTGTCAGTTCCACAGCTTTGGGTGGACAAAGCCAGGGTGGGGGTGCCTAGAACCACCTGGAAGGTTCCACCCATCCTTACCAGTGCCATCTTGTCTTCCATGTCCTCCTGCTTGGCTGTCCCCCACTACAGGGACCCCAAGCATTGCTGGACTTCACCCCGAGGAAAGGGGCTCAGCCCCGCAATCCCTCACCTCCTCAGGGCGGCCCAGGCTCCAGACCCAGCTACGGACTCCGGGACTGGCAGGAGCTGAGCTTACTTCTGGAGTGAGGTGGCCCAGGGGTGATGTGTAGAGAAAGGGGGTGACATTAGGAATGGGCCCCATTCACCGGCAGACCCTGCAACGGGGCATGCGTGGGAGCGCAGACCCGCCCTCCCGAAGCCTGGGACGGGGTCTCCTCTGTGTGGGGCTGCCCGCTGTGAGGACCTCCTTGGTAGACGCCCACAACCCAGGAAGTCTCCTTTCGCTGGCCTCGGGTCCCACCCACCCTCTTCCTTCCGTTTCAGCTTGTGTGTGTCTCAGGGTCAGCAGCACCTAGCAGAATGTCCTGCCTGTGCTTCCTCCTGGAGCCCAGGCTGGAGGCTGTGACCACCCGTCCGCTGAGGCAGGAAGCCCCGGCACCCAGGACAGCACCAGGCTCTTCTTACCCACAGACCTGACCCCTGACTGGCAGCAGCGGAAGCCTCCGTCCCTCAGACCCTGCTGCCCATAGGTGCTCCTAACTCTGGCCCTGCTCTGCTCACCCCCACTGCCTCTTCTGCAGTTGGCTTCAGTCTAGACAGGCCCAGGCGTGCACCCAATGGTTAGACCTTCCCGTGGGCCTCAGGAGCCGCCCGTGGAATTTGCCACGTCCTCCAGGAGCCCGCTCCCCGGCCGCTGACTGTGTGCTAACACCGTGGGGACACGGGGCCCAGGCCAGACCTTAATCCACAGGGAAGAGGAGTCCACGGGGTCCGAGGGTCTGGCCTGGTGGTTGAGACCCCGCAGCCTGCTTCCTGGGACCCATGCCAGATCCTCAGACCCTAGGGACGAGCTCCAGCAGGGAAAGGTGGGTTCTGGGGTCAGGCAATGACTGAGCAGTCCCGCCCCCCCGGATCCACTTCACTATCATACGTCTCCCGATAGTTCTAGAGACCTGAATTGGCAGAAGAGAAGATTAGTCCCTGAGAGAGATCTGCCTTGAAGTCTCCTTTCCAGGCCCCAAGCTGCAGGCTATATAGATCCCTCCTCGGCACTATTGGCCCGAAAAGAGAGTGAAATGCACCTGTAATTGGGGTTTGTGAGTTGAGGAACTCCCTGGTCTTGCCTGGGACGTCACATACAGCACCCAACCCCAAATCTCTATGTGGTGAACTTGTGCCTTAGACCCACATGGTTGCCTGGACTATGGCAGAGCCTTCATGATCTGCCTGCAGGGGTCCTCACCTCCACCCCCATGTACTTCTCCTCAGAACCCGAGGTGGGCCAGAGTGCACACTTTGGGTGTCTCTGATGTTGCTGGGGGCAAGCTGAGTTCTGCATCCAGCATGCCTGCAGGTGGACTTCCTGGGCCACCTCTCTTGGTCACCACTGTGCACTGCTGTGAACCCCAAGCTGTGCGTAACCTTCCCGGACCCAAGAATTCCCTGTGTCATAGGCCCAGTGCGCCCTGCCCCCACAGCTACCCTCCTAATTGGGCATTCTCCCTGACAGAGTGCCACGCGGCTGTCTTGTTCTCATTCTCATTCTGTTGACGTTGGCACAATCCACTCTTTGAATCCTAGCGGTTATAGAGAAGCTGGAGCAGCTGAAATAGCTCCCAGCCCCTGGGGGCCCTCCAGTAGGTACAGTAAGGATTGCTCCTGGGCAGATGGGGATGGCAGATGGATATGGCCACACTAGCTCAGGCCAAGGCTTGGCCAGGCCCTGAAGTTCAGCTAGTCAGCATGGGACTAAGCCAGTGTGTGTTGTCAGCGGACTGGGCCAGTCCGGGTGGCGGGATCAGGAGGGCCCAGATAACCTACCTTCGGAAGCTGCAGGACTCCACAGGGTTTCCTGACCCAGAACTATCTCCTCTCAGCTTCACCCACCTGGTCCACACAGTCTGGTTCCTTGTTAACATGAGTCCAGGCCGCTAAGCCAGTGCCCTGGGTGGCTTCTATGCTGGTTACCATTGGAACACAGGCTTCAGACAAACTGAGCAGTACTCGGAGAGACTGTCAAGGCCAAGAGGAGAGGCGTAGCCCAGATAGACAGGTACATCTGGCTGGCCATCTGCTGCTGCCATTCTTGATGGTCATGTTCCCTCTTTGAGACTTAGTTCTTATCCTTTTAACATGAGGTAATAGTGACAACCTCAGTGAAACCAGCAAGGACGGAGGCTCCAGGCTGAGAAACTCCTGTACTTGCTTAGGCCCTAAGACCCTGTCTCCACAGTGCCAGGAGACTGGGCTCTAGTCACAGTCTAGAAAGGCCAGGACCAGGGCCAGGCACATGCTATGTTTGGGCAATTCTAGCACCAGCCTCCTGTTGCCAAGTTTCCCATCTCTTGGGGCTGAGATGTCAACAGGTTTTAAAGATTATTTGTGTGTGTGTGTGTGTGTGTGTGTGTGTGTGTGTGTGTGTGTGTATCTCTGTATGTGTACACATAAATATAGGTAGCCAAGGATGCCAGAAGTTAAAGGTAGTTCTAAACCTGTGATGTGGATGCTGGGACCTGAACTCATGCTCCCTGGGAGAGCAGTACACAAATCAGTAAAAACCATCTAACCATCCCGATTTCAACACACTTGATATATTTTGGGGTTCCCCCAGCATGTGCCCCCTGGCCAAGCCTAATTATTACCTAGACCCCTACATATATGACTTCCTTCTGTTACCAAGCAGCCTGTCCTAAACCCAGCCTGGACTCCATCAACCCAGGACCCTCACCCAAGCATAGCTCCTGCCTGGGGTCCCTACGATGGGTCCCAGTCCCTAGGACCCCAGCTTCCTTCATGAGTACCCAGCTGCTTGAGAAGGCATTCCTCCGACATGCTAGTTCCAGAAAGCAACCTTGTGCTAGAATTTGTTGTCCTCCAGATGCTGCTGGCCTTTACCTCTGAGTCCATAAAGATGGTTAAAAAGATGGACCCCGCTCTGCAACCTCCCATCCTCAGGGACATAGGTCAGTTTCGTCCCCATTGTGCTCTGATGAGGAAACCACCCCAAGGCTTGGGAGATCCAGCAGCCTTGGCCCTCGTCTCTGGCAGTATCCAGCCTGACCTTGGGGTCCCTGTTATCAGGATGCTCCGGCAGCAGCATCTCTGCAGCCCCAGCTCAAAGCTTTTCTACCGCGTGATGATTGCCACCGCTTACATTAGAATTAGAAGCTGCTGCTGAGACAGGCAAACCCCGCCTACTGGACAGCACCTAAGCTGTAGATTTCAGAGGAGTGCAGGCCTAGCCTGGAGAAGTGGCCACATCCAGTCAGACTCTGGAAGTGGGCAGTGACCTCATGCTGGCCCACAGCACAGCGAGAAAGTTCAGAAACAAGGCTCCTGTCCAAGAGTTGAGACCCCTGCTGGGATTAGGGGAAAAAATCATCCAGAAATAGTCATCCTGGTGCTGGGCACCTTGTGGTGTGGCAGGAGGGGACCAGCCATGGTCATCAGAAGCATTTACAGGGGATCTGGGGCTTGTAGAGGGGGCAGCTGTGCCACTGGGGACTCACAGAAGTCCAGCCATCCTCTTCCTCACCCCTGTGGGTCTCCTGGGGATAACACCTGTGCAGATGGAGGATGTCGGGCCAGGGACCCACAGCAGCCCTGCCTGGCAGACTCTACTTCTCCCATCAAAGCAGGGACCTGAATTCTTTTTACCAGAAAGTGGGGTCTTGAGGCAATGAGTAGCTGAAGGCCCTGCTTCTGTCCTTCCAACCTCCAGGCTCAGGCCCCAGGACCTTTCATAAGGCATCATAATAGCCCGGTCAGGACTTCTAGATCAGTGGTTCTCAACCTCCCTAATGCCACGACCCTTTAACACAGTTCCTCATGTGGTGACCCAACCACAAAATTATCTCCATCGCTACTTCATAACTGTAATTTTGCTACCGTTATGAATCGTGCTGTAAATGTCTGTGTTTTCCGATGCTCTTGGGCAACCCCTGTGAAGAGACCATTTGACCTCTGGTTCAGAACCGCTGTTCTGGGTGGTATGGTGGCTGGGAGGGTTCTCAGTGGTGGGAGTTGGCAGAGAATCTCTGGCAAGTCCCTCGGATGCCACAGTGTGTGTGGAGTCAGAGGACACTTGCAGTGGCTGGTTCTCTTTTGCCATCACGCCGGTCCCGGGGACCAAACCCGGGTCGCCAGGCTTTTCAACAGCGCTGCTGGCAGCGGATCCGTCTCGCAGGCCCCAGCGCCGTTGTTTCAGATGGAGCGAGTGCTTACCGTGTGTGCATTCGGTCGAGGGAGACTTTGTACTGCCTTCTCCGGACAGGGCTGAGCTGGGGAGGGTCAGGGCGTCCAAACACTGGCCCCCTTGGCATCCCCAGCACCCCTCCTGGTCTTTGTCTAGCTAGTTCCTCCCTGTCCTTTCTACCTGCTCCCTGAGTCCGTCCCCACACGGCCTCTTCAACCTCCTCTGCCTCCACACCCAGTTCCTCCCTGGTGGACCTTACGCTGCCCGCTCACCCCGCTGCAACCTCACACCTTGCAAACCACTGCTCTCTCCCAGAGTGCCAGTGACGGGCCAAAGGGACACAGATGTGGCTGGGGGGGACTGTGGTCCTGCCTCAGCAGCCTGCTCTGCCTGCCCTACACTGGCTCAAGACCGCCCTTCCTCACTGGCAACCAAAGGCTGGCTGCATCCATCACCCAAGAGGCAGCTCCCCCACGCTGACTGTAAACAGCTAGTAGCTTCGTGAAGAGGAAAATAAATTGTTTTAACAGCAGAGCAGTTCCCTTCTCCGTACAGCGAGAGGCCGCTCCCCAGGAGCTCCCATGCCAGGCTTAAGCTGCTCCAGCCTGGACAGCTGCACAGATCACAGACTGTAGAGGTATCCGTCTTGAAATAGAGGGTCACATTTTCCTCCAGGGAATGACAGGTCCCCCTCAGTCCCTTACTGGAACTTCAGCCCACCTCCGACTTGCAACTCAAGGATCTGGCCCCATGTCTCAGCACTGTGGGATATGAGGGCGTTTTCAGGGTGCTCACCTAGCCAAGCTCTGCCTTGAGGCCCATGCTGCAGAGCCCCACTGTGTCCCCCAGCTCCTGCCAGCTACACAGTGGGCACGGCCCCTCACAGACCCCCTCCCAGAGCCGGGAACTAGCAGCCACCCTTCGGCTACCTACCAGGAACCAATGTGTTAGTATTTCACAGCCAGCTCTACCCACCTAAAACCTCTCCTGTCCTCACTGTGGGGTCCACAGCATGTTCTAAGCATGTATGTGTCTGTGAGTGTACTGACAACGGCACGCTTGTCTGTGCTCTGACTTTACAAATATACAGTATTTCTGCAAACAAGCTGCTTTTATGTATACATGTATGCACACATGCATCTATGTATACTGCTTTGATGCTCATGGGTACATGTGTCTATGAGTGTGCTGCACTTGTGTACAAAGGTATAAGCGTGTGTGCATGTGAGCATGTGTGTACGTGATTGCCTGCTATCCCGTGCGTCTACCTCTCCGAGCTGACACCTTCACCTCCATTTTGGTCTCTGGTCCTGACGTTTCCCCTTTCCTGCCCAGAGAGTTACACAGCTGTCTTCATCTGATTCAGTACCACTGGAAGACACAGGAGCAATGTGGGCACCTCTCTCACCTGGCTGTATGGCCAGCATTCAATGTCCTACTTACGATCTGCCAAAAGAGGACACTTGGGCCTGACATACCAGTTGAGCTCAGAGATTATATTCCTGTTACTCTGGCCTTGAAAAGGGCCCTGAAGCTGGGCAGTGGTGGCGCACGCCTTTAATCCCAGCACTTGGGAGGCAGAGCCAGGTGGATCTCTGTGAGTTCGAGGCCAGACTGGTCTACAGAGTGAGTTCTAGGACAGGAACCAAAAACTATACAGAGAAACCCTGTCTCAAAAAACAACAACAAAAAATAAATAAATAAATAAATAAATAAATAAATAAAAAATAAAAAAAATACGAAAGAAAGGAAAGGAAAGGAAAGGAAAGGAAAGGAAAGGAAAGGAAAGGAAAGGAAAGGAAAGGAAAGGAAAGGAAAGGAAAGGAAAGGGCCCTGAGGTGGTGTTGGGCCTCTGATCACCCGTCCTGTAGGTGAAGGGTGGGGTCTGGGCTAGACAGATACCCATGCAGTAGAGCAGACCACGTACGATGCACTACCCACAGCGTCAGGAAGGTGAGTCCGTGAAGCCTGCATCCTCGCCCGGGCCTGGCCAATGCCTCAGCTCCTTCGCCTGGCTGGCACAGCAGCTCAGCAAGACAGGAAATCCATATAACGCTGAGGGATGCTTCCAGTGAGGTCAGACCTATCGGTGGGTGGAGGGGGAGGCAAGGGGAGCTGGAACAGTGGTGTCTTGTTAAACCTAGCCCCACATGTCTTCTGAGTGAGCTACACAGGGCCATCACATGGCCATAGCCAGGCCCCTCCCAGATCCTTTCACTCCCAAGAGACATCAGGTACAGGACCGTGAGTTCAAGTCCTGACAAGAGCTGGTAGAAACTCCACATCCTGGTAGGCACTGGCACAGGAGGCCATGACAGGGACACTTTGCTAACGCAGGAGAACCTCCCCCTTTGGCCCCTACCCAAAGTGGTCCTTCTCTGCCTCTCACCCACAAGCAGACAGGGCTTCAAAGGCCCCTTACTGGGGCCCTTCTTGCTGCTGCTGCTGCCTGAGGGCATAGCTCATCTTCTTCCCAGGGGATCCGTTGCCCTGGATACCACCTGCACCCCCACCCTGGGCTGTCAGTGCAGATCAGAGAGGCTCCCTCTGGCTCCCCAGGCCCCTGAGCTAAGGATGACTGATGGGCTCAGCAGCTTTCCTCCCCATACCCGCTTGCCAGAGCATGTCTGGGGTATTGGGGAGTGTTTGTGAATGAATGGATGTAGGAATGAATGAGTGAGTGAGTGAGTGAATGAATGAGAACAAATACCCCCAAACCTGGAACCACCCCAAGCATGGGAAGCAGAGGTTTAGCGTTTTGTGGATAGGAACTCTGCAGTCCTAGCCCTAGCCTTGTGGCCAGGACGATAGAGCACCAGGTTGGGATGTGTGTGGCCAGGGGCCAAAGACCCCACTACATCTGTTTAGGATGGGCCAGGGATGCTGTAAGGTCTGAGGGGAGGAGACCCAGGGGGTCACAGGGGCGCCTGTTGCTGATCTCCCACACTTCAAGGCTGTCCCTGGCAGCCCCTAAGGCCAGCGTCTCTGTGTGTGGAGTTTGGGCCTTAGGGTGGGTAGGAGTGGGACTCGTCATGAATGAACTTAACGTAAGTCCTAGAAGCTCCTTCCACTCAGAACCTAGTAGAATTTCTAGGAATCCAGTGAACAGGCAAGCCCGAGTCAGTCTGGGATCTTTGTTGCTTGAAAGCCCTGATTTGAAGGTGTCTCATCCCAGCTCACACAAGAGATGTCTGTCACTGGACACAAGTACGGAGCCAGAGGAAGAACCTGAGGCTGCCAGGAGGATGCTCAGACAGAAAGCCTTTCTTGGTCAGGTATCTGAGCTGGGGCAGCCAATTTCTGTAGATTTGAACCTCATAAAACCGAGCCTGAGAAGTAACTGCTTGGTGTAGGTCAGCAAGCCCTCAGGACAGGGAAGAACTGTGGGCCATAGGGATGTGAGGGAATGGCCACCCCAGAGGTGTGCCACCGATTGCCCCTGTGCCGGAAGGTCTGGCCAGAACTAAAGCCTGTGAAGGGTGAAGGGTGGGGTCTGGGCTAGACAGATACCCATGCAGTAGAGCAGCCCTTGGTCTTCCAGCCCGTCTGGTGGCCAGTGTCCACTGGTACTCCTGCAGGTCAGCCTATCTCCCCCCGTCCCCGGATCCAGGGGTCTGAAACAGCCCGGCGCAGACACTCCCCACAGACTCAGCACCCACACTCACCGAGCAGCCACACCGAGGGGAATGTGGCTGCTCCCACCTCACTCAAGGGACACTGGAACTCAAAGTCACCTACCCACTACCCGGGTCCTGGGTCCTGCCATACAGAGACCCCCTCAGCCGGGCTCCCTATCTACCCTTCCGAGGAGCCTTCCTAGGAGCCCTGAGGCCCCCATGTGGAGAAGGGGGAGCCTGCCTCCTGCAAAGGCGTGTTTTCATTAGTGAAAGATGAATAATTAATGCTATGGTGCCTTTGAAAACTGTTTTGGTTTTTGTTTTAAACATTTTTTTCTATGTATAGAAGCAGCACTTCCGTTAGGCACAAAATTTATATTTTAATAAACACGACAGTCATTTCTTCAATCCCAGGTGCTCCCCTGGGTGGGCTGGTATGGGGCAATGAGGCGCTGCCATTGGGTCCTCTAACTGCCAGCCCCGGCACCAACACACGAAGCAAGCGCAGAGTGCGTGGAGCAGGGAAGGGCCACCCCAGAGCATGGCACAGGTGTAAAGGGCTGAGGTGCATCCCTCATGCCAGGCCTGGGGTGGGAGGCTGAGGGCCCCCTCCCACAGGGCCACCAAAGGCAAGGAGTGACAAGGCCATCTGTCTCAGGAGGTGCAGACTGAGCCCAGTCCGACCGTCCGTGGCTCCACAACACGCCAGCCTGGGAGTTGTCGAACGTTGATTTCTTGGCTCTTCGGGCACATTCACAAATCAGATTGCTTGGTGCTTTCTCAAAGGTTAAGTCAGAAACACTTACTCCAAAATTGCAAGCCACAGAGAGTTTGAAGAAGACAATATGTTGGTGCTCTCTCCAAGGCCTCTCCCAGGCTGCAGCCAGGGAACTGGCGGAGAGCCAGGTCCCAGAGCCCATCAGCTCATCCGAGGCCAGCAGTGTGCGTGTCCTTCTACCCAGCGCATTGCCTGGACCTGGACAAGAGGCTAAACACAAGAGTTAGGATGTCTATTCTTTTTCTTGCAAAAAAAAAATTGTCATTAATTTTTTAAAGTGTGCAATATTGTCCTCAACAAAACACATTAAAAAATGAGTTGTCTGTTCCTAATAAATATTTTCTAGATTAAGTATTTGTAATGCTATCAATTATTTATCTCCATATATGGAGAATGCATAATTTGTAATAAAATGCAGAAAGGATTTTAATTTTTCTACACAATATATGAAATTGAGTTTTTGACTAATACATGAATAAATTGACTCTAATCCCTTCCTGTCACCGTGTATGGTATTGTTTTAGGTATAAATCTCTTATTTTATAGATGTTTTCAAAAAATTAATCTCCGATATTTAAGGATGGGCATAAATCTCTGTAACGGGCATTTCAGTAGTTCTCACATAGAAGCCTGTCTTCTCCTCACATGGCCCTGAATCACCAGCCACGCACGCCATAGTCACTCCAGGGCTCCATAAACAATTAGACTTGGTAATTTTCCTCGGTGCTGTGCCAACTCTGATGGGGCAGCACCCACCCAGCCCTTCCGCAGGCAAGAGGGGTAGTCACAGCCTTGTCCTGTGGGCAGAAGGTTCTAGAAGACTAGGACACAAGGCAAAGACATGGCCAGGAACATCCACATGAGGGTGGCAGGGGAAGGAGCCGGTCTGGTCCCAGCAGCATGGCCCACGAGCTGAATCCAGTACCTATTTACCAAGCACCTGCCCGAGGCCAGAGACAAGGGCATTGTCTCACTCTGGTATGATGTGGAGAAGTCGCCACCAAATCTGGGCCTGGCTTGGTGAAGCCGAGAGGGCTTCCCGAAAGAGTTGACGCTATGGGGTAAGTACCACCACGTTGACACCTGTCTGTCTGTCCAGCAGCTCACAGGAGGATCCCGTGAATCTGCTCTTACTCT